TAAGCCACCAGGTCTGGGACTTGAACCACAGTCGACTACATGGGAGTTCAGAGACATAGCCATCACACCAAGTGCTGGTCCCAGGACTTTCATCTTAAATAGAGCGACAGAGCAAGTGAAGCCGAGGGCCAAAAGGGTAGCCCAGGTGCCCGTACTCACAGCAAACAGCGCGGTCTGCCCACTCACTAGCCGCCCACGACAGGCTGGTGTAAGTGAAATGGATGAGACAACGCTCTGAAAAGTCACAGCGAGGTGGCAGGCAGAGAGCAGTGCATCGCTGCAACAGCAGACAGGGCTCCAAACGTGGGCAGAGAGTCAATGAGTACATCTCCTCTCCCACTCTTCCGGGATCTTGGGCACGCACGCACATGAGCCTGGCATGAGTTTAAGCCACCAGGTCTGGGACTTGAACCACAGTCGACTACATGGGAGTTCAGAGACATAGCCATCACACCAAGTGCTGGTCCCAGGACTTTCATCTTAAATAGAGCGACAGAGCAAGTGAAGCCGAGGGCCAAAAGGGTAGCCCAGGTGCCCGTACTCACAGCAAACAGCGCGGTCTGCCCACTCACTAGCCGCCCACGACAGGCTGGTGTAAGTGAAATGGATGAGACAACGCTCTGAAAAGTCACAGCGAGGTGGCAGGCAGAGAGCAGTGCATCGCTGCAACAGCAGACAGGGCTCCAAACGTGGGCAGAGTCAGTGCATCGCTGCAACAGCAGACAGGGCTCCAAATGTGGGCAGAGAGTCAGTGCATCGCTGCAATAGCAGACAGGGCTCCAAACGTGGTCGCGGGGCGGAACAGCAGCTACTCGGGCTGCGTCTCAAGGCAGCCGGGTAGCCCGCTCCGGCAGTCGCGAACAGGGACGTGGTTACCGGGGGCTGGGGCGTCTCTCCCAGGCAGCTCGGGGCATATCCCATCAGCACGCCCAGTGCCTGCACTATCGCTTCCTAAGGGTGGCTCCGGGCTAGGCACACGCACCACCTGGTTTAGTCCTCACAGAGGCTCTGGGAAGGCCACTGCTGCCCCTGCTTTGAAGATGAGGAAAGTGGGACGCAGAGACAGTAAGGGGCTGCTGGGAAGTGGCGGAACAGAGTTGAAGCCTCGGCTGCTGATCCTGGGTCTGACCTGACCTGGGGCTTCCGGCGCGGTGGGGGACTCCTGCTGTCGTCTTGGGGCCTGAGTCCCCGGGCTGGGGCTCTGCCTGGAGTGGCCCTGGCGGGGAGGGGGATGCGAACTACTGACCCAAGTAGTACAAATGACTAACTCTTCAGGTGGCCGAGAGCCGCCATAACGTGGCCTCCTTTACAGGACACTGCGTGCTACGTCAGCTCGGATACACTCTCAGACTAGAATCTTCAGACAGAGCTAAGTCGTGGAGACCTGCAGATTACCGACAGCAAGGGCCAGGGGGAGCCAGCGCGGGGTTGATAGGCGGCTCTCTCGGCTGGGGCCAGCAGCGTGGTCAAGGACACCCACATGGCCAACTGGTTTGAGTCCTGGATCTGGAGGCTTGCTTTCTACTTTCCCTCTCTCCCTCTCTGTCTCTCGTCTCTGTCTGTCTCTGGTGAGTGCATGTGCCCTATGGCAAATTAAACTAATAAATAAAATTAAATAAATAATTCTTAAAAAATAAAAAAGTGACTCTCTGGGAGAACAAAGCCCTGGTTTGTAAGCTCTGACCCCCACAGCGCACACACTCCCACCACAAGGCACCTGAGGTACGGAGGACCACACGACACAGAGCGAGTGAGGGGTCCACAGGCGCTCCCGCCAACTCGCGAGCAGGCTCCCACCC